TATTAAATTATTTTAAGTAATGCACTTTTGTGTAATCAATTAAAGGACATTTTAATTAATATCCTGTACTCAAAGATTTCCGTTTTTAAGTTAGTGTACCTAATTATTAAAAACAATACCGAATGGGAATGATGTTTGGGCATCCAATGCGTTACAAAAGTTTTCATAAAAGCATTATAGAAGGGAAGATAAGTAGAAGAAGACAGGCTGCCAGGTCAATCCAATACACTGTAAAGTTACATAAAGTCTGTCTATTCTGAAGATGGAGTAAAATGACATTTGTCGATCGTTTATCGACCCTTTATATACGCGATACAAGCCTAGAGTTTAGTGCAGGGTCCGCTGGTAATTGTGCCTTAGTCGTAACACGTTTTGTTATTAATGAAATAAACATAAATATCATACATTGGGCAGAAATAAACTACAATCTGAACTGTATTAACCCAATCAGTTTTATCTATAAATATTTTCTGAAATTTTTTTTAAGTTGTTTGCTATTCAATTTCATGTAGACAAAAGACCCTTTGGAGCTGTGAATTTCATTGTTATTAGACATTTTATTCCATTTCAATTAATTGTTAAAGATAAACTTTTAAACTAAGGTATTAAACTTATCATGCTTCCGCTGCCAATAGATAGTGTGAGCGTTACTGCGTTCCGGTTTTGAAGGGCAAGGGTAGCGGTCACAAGAAAAATGCAATGGAAGTGTATTAAGCCTAATTACTATCAGAACTGCTGCCTGATCACTAGCAGAACGCAATAAATAAACACTATGAAATCTTGATAATGATTGGTCATAGTTTCTAATTTGAAAAGATATAACAAATTCTGGACTTAGGCAACGAAACTATTTTTCCGAATTTAAATCACGTATATTTGTTTTTTTAAACAAACCAACGTTTCGGGCCCTTTACAGGTCCCATGGACACGGTTGACTGAGGTGGTACAGTCAACTTTGGTTTGTTTGAAAAAACAAACATACGCGATTTAAATCCGAAAAAATTTCATTTCCTATGTGTAACAATTAGAGACGGGTCATGGATAAATATCATTGGGATAAATACTCAGGATAAATATCCATTTTTACTCGATATTTATCCAAAAACGAGGATAAATATGTTTAATCGTGGTTTATTATTTATGTTTAGTAAAACTAAGTATATTTTTAAAACACTTTGCGCACCTACACTATTATAAACATTTATTTTTTTATATCATGTGTTTTAATTAATAAATTTTGTGAAATGTGAAAGAGAATCCTTAAGCTAATTCAAGTCCAAACATGACTTTATTTAGTACGCAGTAGACCCCAAGTTGGGTCGCACTTTATTAAGGCAGGATAGGTCAGCTCAAGGGTTACAGGTAATTTAATAACTTTCTGTCAATCGAATTTTCTATGCCGCTCGACTCAAAAAACGTAGGTAGAACAGTACTGTTTTATAAAAGAATGGCAAAAACGTAATTATTTAATAAAAAATAAATATACGCAAAATATATATACATATATTAATTCTAATGAATTTTGTTATAAAAAACACAAAAAGTAATTACCCATGTTTTAGGATAAATACTCAGTAAAAACGGATATTTATCCTTAGACAGATATTTATCGGGTAAACACCCATCTCTAGTAATAATCGCGAACCTAAGAACCTAAGAACTAATAATAATAATAATAATAAATTTTATTTCCTTCACACACAATTTCAACCATTTTTTTTTTTTTAAAACCATATTAAACATTCTTAAGTAATAAAACATTTGTGGTCTGTGAAGGCTGGAGCCTAAACTAGGATACCCTGTGCTATAGGTCTCCAGGCCTCCGCATACGGATAAAGTATCAAAAAAACAACATTGACTGCGTCACGAATGATTGCTATGAGAGAAAGTTACTCAAAATTAGGTTTATACAAATCAAAAAATTATAAATATAAATAAAATTGAAGACTAGAGGGCAAGAATTATGTTGTGTGTGTGAGAGAGTGAGTGTTGTGTGTGTGAGTGTGTGAGTCAGAGTGTGTGTTTGTGTGTGTGGGAATTAACTATAATGGAACATGAAGGAGGTTTTCGGTTTCCTCATATGACAAAGTCAATAGCCTTTTAGTGACCACGTTCCTACATTCAAACTTGTTTAGAGGATAAATATGCAAATCACCATTACATCCGTTATATAAGAAGGGCCCGAGGAAGCCGAAGAAGTGATGGGCAAAGGATGTAGACCACGCCGAATAATGGCACACACGATCACGGCGTCGAAAATTAACTATCCGAGATCGATCGTAAGATGTCTGCGAATGTACCCTCAGGATGGTGTACAGAACAAATAGTTGGCGTACGGATAGAACTTGCCAATCTCGGAAAAGTTCTCGAGTTGGAAAAAGGTATGGTCGGAATGACGCCACTTTCAAAACCGCTCGTTGAGCCACTTCCAGTTTCATAAGAGTCGTTTTTGCTACACCACCCCAGGATGAAATGCAGTAAAGAAGAATGGTTTGACACGTAGCAAAGTATACCGTCCTAAGAACATCAAAATCGGCTATATGACGTAAAGTTTTGAAAACTACTATTAACTTTCGAACACGGTTAGAGAGATAATTAATATGATTTTTAAAATTAATATGTTGGTCAATATTTATACCCAAATATTTGAACTCTTGGACGGATTGTAGAGCGGGGCACCGGCATCCACCACGATCACAACTATCAGGAGAGTCATGAGCAATGAGTGTGTGGCCAATAGTAGGCAGCGAATTAGAGCGCGACCCAAATACCATATATTTGGTTTTTTGTGCGTTTAAAGTTAACAGATTACAGTTTAACCAACCTAGGATAGAGTTGAGCCCTATTTGAGCAAATTGAAAAACTTCCTGCCAAGAGTCAGCTTGGAACGAAAGTGTTGTGTCGTCAGCAAAGGATATCACCATCCCATTTGGTAACTTATTTTGGCACAAATCATTTATAAACACCAGAAACAGAGATGGCCCTAGGATACTTCCTTGGGGCACTCCATACGATATTGAGAGTTCGTCACTGGTGAAGTTTCCAATTTTAACTTGCTGAGTACGATTGGCAAGATAAGATTGAAATAATTTAAGTGCGACTCCTCTTACCCCACGCCCTCAAGCTTTTTGAGTAAAAGTGGGATCGAGACCGTGTCAAAAGCCTTAGCCAGGTCCAAGAAGATGGAAAGACATTTCTTCCCATTGTCCAAACCGCGAACGATAAAATTAACTAGCTCATGAACAGCACCGTCTGTTGATTTACTAGCTCTGAAACCAAATTGCTGTGGAGACAGAATGTTATATTTTCCTAAATATTTCATTAATCGAGTGTTCATGATTCGCTCGAGAATTTTAGACAACGAGGGAAGCAATGAGATTGGGCGATAATTACAGACACGGTCTCTATCCCCTGACTTGAATATTGGTGTTATGACAGCTTTTTTAAAAACGTCGGGAAAACAGCCGGATGTAAGGCTTAACTGGCAAACATGGGCAATGATTGGTGATAATAAAGCGGCATATCTTTTAAGGAAGTTTGATGGTATTCCGTCCCAACCCACAGCACAGTTAGCTTTGAGACCAGTAATCAACTTCAATACTTCGTCTTCGTCTGTAGGTAGCAAGGCAAGTGATTGTGAGACCTGTGTGCCATGTGAAGAGGAAGTGGTCGACCCCAAATCCTTAGATCCGATAACCTCGGCCAGGGAACTGCCAACACTTGCAAAGTATTCATTACAAGCATTAACAGAAAGTTGTGGCAAGCTTTGGGATTTTAGTAATTCCAAAGCGGATTCCCTTGGTGTTTCCATGGAGGTATTGGTTTTAATAACTTTCCAAAGTTTTTTATTATTAGAACGAGCGTCTATTATCTCGTTTCTTTGATAGCTTCGCTTTAACTTTTTTAATATTTCATTACAATAATTCCGGTACCTCCGATAAGCAATCAATAGGATATTGTCATTTGGTGTCACCCTAAGTTTCCTATGCATATTGTCCCGGTTTCGCATACATCTTAGCAATCCCAATGTAATCCAAGGCTTGAGTATAGAAAACCGATGTGACAACTTCAGAGTTTTGGTGTTTGAAATAAGTGCCTGAGCAAGAAGATTAACAAGAATGGATGCAGCAGCGTTACAATCATTACACGAGAGAACAGAGGAAAAGTCCATATTAGACATCGCGATATCAACGGCAGCATAATCAACCTTCGCAACGACACGCGGGGGACATTTCGGTAACTCAGAGTCTAAGGCAAATAATATTGGCTTGTGGTCCGTAATAAATGATGTAATTATCAAAGTAATACTTCGCTTTTTAGATTTTAAAATAATATGGTCTAAACATGTTGAATCCCGAGTAGGAAAGGTATGTGCCGGAAGCATTCCGTGCATGGCTAAAAGATTACAATAATCATCACTGCATCCTTCACTGCTACCTGGAGCAATATCAATGTTGATATCGCCGGTTAAAATAATTGTCTGGAAGAAAGCAAGCGATTTCAAAATATCGTTAAGGGAACTCAGAAAGGTGGTTACATTTTGCTTAAAACAATGAGGACGATAAATCGAGATTATTGCTGTATGATTTGCAATTTTAATAATCAAACAGTTAGTTTCCGGAAAATAGGGTTCAGTAATAGAAAATGAGATTGAGCTCTTTACAAATACTACTACACCATCGTTTTGGTTGTAGTTGTCAGATGTCGAATGAGACGAATATCCGTTTAAGGCTGGAATATTGCCATGACAACAAGAAAGCCAGCACTCGGTAAGAATAACAAACTCAGGCTCAATTTTAGTACGCAAAATTAAAGTTAGAAGGGCGTCAAAGTTATGATTTATGCTACGTATGTTGATAGACAACAACTTCATTTTTTTGTTAGGGACTCGCAATAATGTCGAAACATCCTCAGCGCCACATTCTCCAGCCTCCGAAATTTTTAATTCATCAATATTATGAAGAAGATCGTTAACGCTATCGAATGATATGCTTATAAAAATGGAATGGGCTGTTGATGGTGGCCTGTGGAAAATATGTGGGCTGTCTCAGACAAGTTCCAGTAAGTGCTAAAGCTAATGAATTGCAAGAGTTTTCTGAGCTATTAATAAGTAGAAATATGGGAATTGAGTATGAATGAGTGAGAGAGAGTGAATGTAAATGTGTGTTGGTGAGTACTCGATAAATTCTGGACTGTTAATATAATTTAAACTTTATCCACTAGTTATATCCTTAAAAGTTCAATACCTTTGCTAACGTACTGCCATCTTGCGGCCAGTATCTGGACTTCGACGAATGACTAATATTTAAACGAACAGAAAGTGTATGTTCTCAACAATCGTCTTCTTTAACGCACACGTTGCACAATGAACTTTATTTCGATGTAGTAGCGTAGAGCTTCTTGTGAATGAGTTCGTCCAGGATAGTACTGCCACCTTTTCTGCCGCCAAGCAGTAATGTCAGCATTACTGTGTTCCGGTTTAGAAGGGTAAGGGTGAAATTACAGGCACATGGGACTTGTCATCTTATGTCTCAAGGTGACAGGCCCAGTGGCAGTCTTTGCAATTTAAAGCTCTGAGTGGCACTGCAACTGTGGACAGGGCTTACCACCAGCCACGCGAGATATTCGTCCCGTCACTTCATGTTATAAAAAAGACCGACTTCAAAAGTTCTTGGAATTACGTCTATTTGCCAAGTTTTATAACATACATACAAAAAAATATATTCGAATTGGGAAGCTCTTAATTTTTTTTAAAGTCGCTTAAAAAAGCGCACATTTACAATATATCAATCATACCCTTGATCAAATAATGAAATAAAATGCAAGAATTTTGTTTCGGACAGTAGGTATAATAGGTACTTACAACTACTTTAGTAGAAAGTAAAGTGTTCATTTTCATGAACATCCAATAGTTGAGGATTGGGCTGTCCATCCGCTACCACCTTAAGAAGATTGTTGGCTGCTGCCTCTCACTCTGGCCAACTGGGATGCCACTCTCTTGCGAACGGTTGCCTGAAAACTATCAATTGTAGCCTCCGCGAACATCCCTGAGGCACTACAGTGTCAAGACAGCCCCAGCAGTCCCCAGAGGGCGTTGTCGAATTGGACACGCAAGGATTGGGCCTCTATTCTCGAAAAGCGGCGACATATAAACCAGCTATATTTCTTGTTCCCAGGCGCAATAACATTTGCAAACGTTGGTATCGCCATGCTGGAGCCAAGCCTGCCGATCTGGATGGCTGACACCATGGAAGCTCATCGATGGCAACAGGGAGTCGCCTTCTTGCCAGCTAGCATTTGCTACTTGATCGGTTAGTATCTCTACTAAGTTTACTAGAATCAAAACATTTATTAACGCGAAATCAGCATGTGTCGTTCAGTAAAAGCTATAAGTCAATATTATTGTAAAACAGGCATTGCGTCAAGAAAGACTTTTTCATCACACTTGCTCGTAAATAGTATGATTACATGTTGGCTAACTTGACTATAATTCCTCAAATAAAACACTCGGGTTTTTTCTTCCCATTACAGCCGTCGGTAAGGAGCTTTTTTTATTTGTAACACGACATACTTCCTTACATAGGTCAGGTTCAAGTTCAAAATTAAAACATTTGCTTAAAATGTTATCTAAACAGAAATTTTATTGCAATTCAACCACATACTTCTCAAATACATACTTGTTATTAAGAATTTCTTAATTTCTTTTTATATTCCATCATGGCTATATGTATCTTTTCTTTATATAACATTTTAGTTTGAGTGTATTATCTATGGAAGAATCACAACCTGGCCATCAATTGATAAAAAAAAACCCCGCCCTTTGCAAAATCCATAATTGTTGTGTTGTGAACTAAACATTGTATTTATTTCCTCGCAAATGTGATGAAAAACATTGTATATATCACGGACGGTAAAAAATACAATACTCGAGTTATTGAAGCCCTCAGCTTTCGGCTTCGGGCTTCTGACAAATTCTCTCTAATAATTTCTTATTACACAATGTACTAACTGTAAAAAAAAGTGAGACTATTTTTGATGATTTCAGGCACAAACTTGTTCGGCCCTCTGGGACATAAGATGGGACGTTGGCTCGCTGCTTGCTCTGGACTGATTATTATAGGCGTATGCCTCATTTTGGTAAGGCTACCTTACCGAGTTTTGAATTTGCGTAAATATACTATTTGACAATAACAAAAGTAAATTTAATAATGATAAGCAATAATGTGTCAAACAACATGATCACAGTTTTGCGGAAATGGCACCCAAGATTTTTTTCGTTGTTTTTGATACTTTGTTCTAAAATTTACATAAGTAAATAAAAAGTTTTATAAAAAAGGAAAAATGTACTTTGGGGAATTTATCTCTACCCTAACGAACAATAAAACGACCTAGTGAACTTCGTGAATGGCGATATAATTATAAAGTTTCGTGGTTTTTACAAAATGCTTTTTATCAAACCAGGCAAACAATTTGCAATCGCTGACATGACCATTTACGTAACTGTAAACTGTCAAACATTTACGGCAAGTGTGACAGTCTCCTTGGCGACTCTCGTCCAAAGCCTTTTAACTGCCTCCGTGGCCGAACGATTACCATGCCGGACTGCCACGCAGAGGTCCCAGGTTCGATTCCCGGGCCGGGAGAAATAGTTGTATGGCCTACAATTATTTCTCTCGTGAGTTTGGGTGTAATTTGTGGTTGTCTATGTGTGTGTCCATGGCACCCGTGACACAGGGTTTCCCTAGTGCGGGGCTATGTTGAGTGTGTGCGTTATTATTATTATTATTATAAAGAGACTGCCACAGCCAGACGGTGATAATAGGCGGCGTCTAAAGCCGCCACAGTAGCTGTTGTGCTAGTTGTTGTTGGGGAAGTATAGTATATAAATCACAACAATTCATCATTCCAGCAATGATATCATATGATATCTATTAATGCATGCAAAATAAAAGTGCGAGTAGCAGTTTATTGTAGTGCAGATTTTTCTGTAAAAAGTACATTTAATTAGAGTGCATGAAGTTTGAATTTAGTTTAAATAAGATACTTTAGCTTTGTTGGAAATTTCTTTAAGGTCATTGGAGAGAAACAGTGCAGTGGATTCGGTTTTATTTCATATTTAAGATATTAAAAAATATATAAATAACCTAAAAAATTGGTTTTATTAAAAACTGTAATCGATGCGTCTCTGTTACAGCCTTCAAAGTTTACAAACAGTGTGCCATCGATTTATTTTGTTCAAGTACGCACGTCTTTATCACATCTTTATTTTTTTTATTAACTAAAATATTACGTAATATGGAAAATATGGATTATTGCAAGTTTCGTGCACAAATATGGTCTGTAAATATGGAAAAAATGTCACTTTTTTTCATTCTAAATCCCATCTTCCAGATCCCCATGGCCCGGAAACTGGAACACCTGATCATCCCCAACGCTGGTCTTGGCTTCGCAATCGGCATGGTGGATTCTTCGATGATGCCCGAGCTTGGTTTCCTAGTGGACATACGTCACGCTGCCGTGTATGGATCCGTTTATGCTATTGGAGACACTGCTTTCTGCTTGGGATATGCCGTAGGTGAGTTATGTGAACCTGGTACTTTTAGTTTCAGAAATGTATTTTGGCATGTCAGAATTGTAGAAAAAAGATCGTAGTATCTGCCTACCTTACTAGGAAATAAACGTGATGATATGTATGTATTTATGTTAGAATTTAGCACTATTGTCTTAAAAGTATACAGTACACACACACACACACACACACACACTCAACATAACCCCGCACTAGGGAAACCCTGTGTCGCGGGTGCCATGGACTCACACATAGACAACCACAAATTACATCCAAACTCACGAGAGAAATAAATGTAAGCCGTACAAATATTTCTCCCGGCCCGGGAATCGAACCTGGGACCTCTGCGTGGCAGTCCGGTATGGTAACCGTTCGACCACGGAGGCAGTTAGTATGAAAGTAGAAACTCAAAGGCACCAGTATAGACCCTTGGAGAAGTCCCCCTTGAGATAAGTCCGAATTTGGTTTCCTGGTCGACTTCAAAAGGAGGTGGTTTTCAATTCAGCTATCCAATTGTATTTATTTTTAACCGACTTCAAAAAGAGGAGGAGGTGCTCAATTCGACTGTATTTTTTTTTGTATGTGTGTTACGCGATAACTCCAGTATTTGTGAACCGATTTTCATGATTCTTTTTTGTTGGAAAGAGGGTGATCATCTACCTCTAAGGGTGGCTGATCACGCATGAACATTCATTTTTATAAATAGCGCCTAAATTTTACTTAAGGAGCAATTATTTTAATGGTTGGTTTTGCTATTCTCCAATTCAAGGCGTTTTTCTCTATCAGTATACTTTGAGTAGTGAGAACCGATTTTTATTATCTCCTGTGTCAAGTCCTGTGTAGTGGAGAACTAAACATCCCCATATTTCAATAAAACTTGGCAAATGGATGTAATTCCACGTACTTTTGAGATCGGTTTTTTTTTATTAACAAGTTATTAATTATTCAACATAAATTTATAGTCTACATTCAAACTTTACCAAATTTTCCTAATTTCCAATCCTCAACTTGAAACATTATATCCAGGTCCAGCCTTCTCCGGCGCTCTGGTAAACAGCATTGGCTTCGAATGGATGCTGGTCATCATTGCCATCCTCAATTTCGCATACGCGCCTTTTCTGCTGCTGCTGAGGTCTCCACCGGCTACCAACGAAAAACAGGTACGTTTCTTAAATATATTTACTATTTTTAGGTATGTATAACTAGGGCTCCGTCCCTCGCTCAAGGTTACGCGATAAGTGCCTACTGCTGAGTGTGCCAACGTCGGCGCATGCGCTCACACAAGTCTTTCATGTAAGAGCATTCGGCTCAACACGACTCCAAACGGTGGGCAACGTTATTTTCACCTCTATGAGCGGGTTCCTTTTCCCTCGTAGTGACCGCCTGGTGTCATCAGTTAGATTTAGTAGGCTATTGTAGCGTAGGTGCTTTCGATTTCTGTAGAGAGTCATGAATCTGTTACGTAGTAGCTATTAAGTAATCTGTGGTATAACTAAAAATCGACCATCAAATTTTAATCATAGGTACCTCAGCAGTCATGACATCGCGTTTAATTGTGAGCACTATATTTCTTTTCCTGGGAAAACCATTTCTGTAAAAGGTGAATTAGATTTTTTCAATTATATTAATATTGAACAATATAAAAGAGAACGTGGCCCTGCCACGGCACGGCTTGTTCGTAGCGTTACCTACTTGACATCATAAAAAAATTGTAATATACTATGTTGTGGTGTTAAAAGGATGCATGGTCATTAAATTCTCTTTATTTTCAGAGCTTAATAATAAACGACAAGTCATCAGTCAGGTACGTGAGCTACCAAAACGAAGAGGAAGAATAAAATAACCGCCATTAAACAACCGCCATTTTGAATTTTTATTTTTTAATTTGGGAGTGGTGATATTAAGCCAAAGTTTTTAGGGGTTTGCATAAAAAATAAGTACGTCTGAGGATGATGAGTAAACGCTGTATTTTTGCCAAAGGTTTTACTATTTTTAGATATTAAGTATAATAAAATATATCAATATATTTATTATTAACTATACTAAAATGGAGCGTGACCAAAATGTGTGTATACTTAGAAATTTAAAAAATATTTACAAACTTTTAATGGTAGTTATTGCCCAAAATGTTTCAACTTTATCGAATATTTAGAAATCGTATTTCTCATATATAATTTCTTCTTCATAATACATATTTCATAGATATAGAGGCCTACTAATACATTCAATAGTTTTCTTTATTGTGTAAATATCGTCCTAGAGAGAATGGATCAATGACAAAATTTTAAGTTAAGCAGTAACGTGAGCATTACTGCGTTCCGGTTTTGAAGGGCGCTGGTTAAATTACAGGCATATGAGACTTGTCAAATTTATGTCTAAAGGCGCCTTCACATAGACGCTTATAGAAGTGCAACAGTGATGCCACTATGACGCTACAGCCCGGCCAATTCTAATTTTGATACAATATTTAGATACGCAGCTGCAGCGACACAATCGCGACACGTGCGAATTAAGTGACTGAGACGTATTTTGACAACAAATACTTTTATTCTAATGCCAGCTTAACTACGTAAAGTTCTACAGTCCCAATAAATTTAATGCTATCGCCGCTGTAATAAATGAGAGTTTCTCACATTAACACGCACGCCATTGTTCGCCAGTCACAATTAGTGAACTAAAAATTACTGAAGCGCCACAGTGGCATAACTGCAGCGCTTATATAAGCGTCTAATTTGAAGTCGCCCTTGGGGTGATTGGTACAGTGCTAGTGCTCGTCAAGCCTTTGCGGTTTAAAGCTGTGAGTGGCAGTGGATAGGCGTGTCAACTTGCGCCGACAACTTAAAATGTCAGAATGGTTCAATTGAACTTGAACAACGACTGAGAGTATGGAACTTTAAAGAGGGGACCACGTCGTATAAGGAGGTCAAAGAAAAGAGATTATGGCGTTTGCTACACCACCAATATAGTTCTTATTTTTAAAAGAAAGACGTATTATTTATAACACTAATAAATAATATACAGAGTGACAACAAATTGATTATGTTGGTGAAATATTTTTAAACCGATTTTTTTTATCGCTTCATCTATAAAATGCAAGAGTACAAAAGAGTGAGCCATCTCGGTAAAGCATGTACCATCCCTATAGTGCAAACAACTAGTTTAAACACTTTTACACATTGGCACTTAATTCTAAACTTGGTAATCTTTACACGGAACTAACTTTGTTGAATTAGTAAGAATAGAGTCGGCAGTCAGTGTTTTATTTGACAATTTAAAAAAAAACGTGATGAGTAAAGAAATAATTCAAAACTTGAATTCAGAAAAAGGGTTTAGGGCACCCATGATTCGTACGAGTAAGACCATTAAGTCTTTTACTCAAAGCATACATGGTTTTATCACTCTATTGTCATATAAAGGATAAACAATAATAATAACAAAGTATTAAACTGTTGAGTGGAGAAATATTGCAACAATATGTCCATCATAATACGGATTCAAAAAAATATACTATAATATACATTGTATAAAACAAAATAATAAGTTCCATTCAAAATATGAAATTGCAAAATTTCAGTATTGAAACATAATTTTTAAAATTACGAATTGAAATTTTCTATTTATTTATATCTTCAATTATTTTTAGTGGGCCTCTTTACAAGAATATGTATTTTAATAATCATAAACAACATCGGATCTGACCAATTTTCAAACTTACATCTTTTCCTAATTATAATAACAAATGTTCCAAAAATATATATTTTATATGCTTTATACATTGCAAGCTTATTATAATAAACTACAATGTTATATATTTTAGAAAATGAAATAATTTATGTTGGATCTAAATTATGTATATGTGTTTTTTCATATTGCGTATATTTATTCTAAAAACAAATATACGCTGTTTGGATCCGAAAAAATGGTTTCATTTTCTATTGCGTAGGAACCGCGAAAACCTAGAAACTCGAGGTTATATATTTTAGAAAAATAGCCATTTAGTCAGGGTGTCTAAAGAGCATATTAAATACAAAACATATCTAGAATGTTACATATAAAATATTAAATGATTCAAAGTTATCACCATACTATCAGCTTAATGTAGAAATTATTAAACAAAACTCGTTTTTTTTTTTCAAATAAATTATGTATGTACACATTTTATAACTGATTATTGGTGTATTGAAATAACAAAGACTTTATACAGGGTGTTAACAAATTAGATGTCTTTATTTTTAAAGTTATTTGTTAAAGCCTTCCTTTTCTTCTCTTATCATCACTTACAATAAATCTTGTGGATTGAGCCTTCTACATTCTGACTTCTCTAAGGCTTGGTTACATTAGTCACATTAAACAATAATAAAATGAAGATGGTTTGTGATTTATGGCCACGTCCTTTCGTTTAAAGAATTTTGATTGGGAGTGACGAACGATCGAACAAATGTTTGAATGATAAGGCTTTTTTTTTATATAAAAGGCCGAAAACCAGGAAAGAGGACGATAAAAGATGAGATGATGATGATGGAGGTCAGTATCGTCACAGATTGATGAATGTAGGTGAAGCAAGAAATTTTTATCAGGATTCATATTATACAATTTCAAAATCGCTCATAAAATCTTTTTAATTTGCATTTCAAATTGTTTTTTTAGTACATACTTACCTAATTAGTTAGCACCGTGTATGTCAGGAATTCTGGTAAAGATTAACACCTCGAATTGTTGTAAAGTGATAACCAACATTTTACTTAATTTTATTGTAGAATTCATGACTATTTATGCAGGTACTGGGTTGTTTTCTTTATGTAAGTGCTTATTATTGTTTTTTTCATGAATCAATAAATAAATTATAATATTTCATAGATTTGTATTTAAAAAATAGGAGGGCTGTATTTTTGCACTATGAAACATTTTGTCATAATGCCTTTGTGTGAGAAAAATTTTAATGATTTGTTCCTAAGTTATAACATAAATAATTAATTTGTCTGTTACAATCCCAGGACGCAGGTTTTTAATATTTTAGATTTTTATATTTTATACAGACCTAATGGAGGTTAAAGTATTAGCGAAAGCTATAAGCTCCACGAGCAAAAAACTCATTTCACATGTTCAATTTATTATTTATAAAGACAATTTTTTTATTTGCATTTTATACAAAAATATATAAATAGGTATTTCGAATTAAAAGTACACCCTATATTTTAATAACCCAATACTCTTTGTTAAATATTGATTGCTGCAGCATTGTAATTAGTATTTAATTGGTTGAAATAGTTCCTGGACTTTGGAAAATACAAATAAATTATAAAAATACATTATGCATTAATTATGTTTATATATTATATTAATAAGAATAGAACGCAAAAATAGCTCTATGCTTACTATACATTATACTACGTGTACTTGCTTTGATTCACTTATAAAAAATATATTAAACATTATATTCTATATCATTTTGCGAATGTGACTTTGACAATATTTTTATATTTATTATTATAATAAAATTTATTATTTAAAGTATATTGGACAATAAGAATAATTTTGCATTATATTAATAATTTGACAATAAAATTTTTTGTAAAACACTCGTTTTTGCCGGCACTATTATTTTTAATAATTGGGGTAAGGACCAAAACAAATAATATTTTATTATTATTAAATCAAATGATAATAATCGTTCGGAGCTTATTTTAAAATGTTTTTGTAAATAAATAAAATGTGTTATAGCTACTAGAGTAATATAAATATTCCTAGATCCATATTTAAAATGTTCACTATTTCATTTTGTACAGATTAAAACCAAATATCTAGAGTATTGTATCTGTTTCAAAATATAACAATGGAAAATTACCAATTTATGAGTCCGTACGAAGTGGAATATTATTTAAAAGTATAGTAAAACGCCGTATTGTAGTTAAAAATATATTTATTAGTATAATAATTAGTTATTATAAAAACTGAGTATAGGTAAAAGTTTCCTTACTTTGTATAAGATCTCATACTTATAAATGATTATGTAGTATTCACTTCATTATGTATTAGAGTTATGTAGAAGTTACTTGTAGAAAAATTAGGAAACATAAAAATAGAATGCGTATATTGAAAACAAACAGTATTTTCGCAAGTATTATTTTCCAATTAATTTGGATTAGTATTCTAAAACATTGAAACCGATTGGAATATTTGTGGGTCTATCACGAAATAACTCTATGAGAGACTATGCATACATGTGTATTTTATACATTGTAGTTGCTTCATCTTAAAAACTAACTGAAATTAACAAACAAAACTGCAATTAAAACTATCGCATATAAAATATGCCGTGTGCAGAGGCTCTAAGGCTCAACTCACACTGGCGCAGAATCGAAGC